ACCCCAGGGATAGCAGCACGCCAGGCTTCCTTGTCCTTCACCAGCTCCTGGAGTTTGCTCAAACTCATGTCTATCGAGTCGGTGGTGCCATCCAACTATCTCATCCTCTGTCACCCGTTTCTTCTCCTGCCCTCAATCTTTCTCAGCATCTGGGTCTTTTTCAATGAGTCGGTTCTTCACATCAGGTAGCCAAAGTATTGGAGCTACAGCTTTAGCATCAGTCCTTCCAGTGAATATTCAGGGTTGGTTTCCTTTAGGATTGACTAGCTTGATGTCTTTGCAGTCCAAGGGATTTTCAAGAGTCTTCTCCAGCACCACAGTTCAAAAGCATCAGTTCTTCAGCACTCAGCTTTCTTTATGGCCCAACTTTCACATCTGTACATGACTACTGGAAAAGCTACAGCTTTGACTACAAGGATCTTTGTCAGCAAAATGATGATTCTGCTTTTTAATATGCCGTCTAGGTTTGTCACAGCTTTTCTTCCTTATTTTTTCCCTATTTTGTTGATTCTTGTCTTTATTATTTATTTCTCTTCCAGTTATTTACTGCTGCTGCTGCTGCTAAGTCACTTCAGTCATGTCCGACTCTGTGTGACCCCATAGACGGCAGCCCACCAGGCTCCCCCGTCCCTGGGATTCTCCAGGCAAGAACACTGGAGTGGGTTGCCATTTCCTTCTCCAATGCATGAAAGTGAAAAGTGAAAGTGATGTCACTCAGTCGTGTCCGACTCTTAGCAACCCCATGGACTGCAGCCCACCAGGCTCCTCCATCCATGGGATTTTCCAGGCAAGAGTACTGGAGTGGGGTGCCATTGCCTTCTCCAAGTTATGTACTACAGTATGACAAACCACTCATTACTTACTGACTGAAACAGGTGTTTATTACTGTCTCTTGGCATTCGCTAAATGTTGCCCTGATCTTGGGTGGCCTTGGCCTGCAACAGCTTGGAGTGGGGCTTGGGTTCCCAGCCAGAGACTGAGGTTGGATCATGGTGGTGAAAGCAGCAGGTCCTCGCCACTAGACCAGTGGTCAGTGACAAGAGCCCTAACCCTTTGGCTTTGCAGAAAAGAATTTCCACAAAGACAGAAAGTAGTGAAGCAAGTAAAGTATTCATTTGGAGGAAAAGAGTACAGTACGTGTGGATAGGCACATGGGCCGACTCAGAGGGAGAGTCTCTGAACTGCGCCCTCATGGTAGATTGAACCACTTTTATAGGATATTTCTTCCTGGTTTCCTTTGGCCAGTCATTTTGATTTGCCAGGTTCACAGTCCATATTTAGTGTATCTCAGGATCCTCCCACATATGTGCACGCATCTCTTAGCTAAACTAGATTCTACCAAAGAGGCTGTGGTAACCTGGTATTAGTTAGCACCACTCCCCTTTGACCTCCAAGGAGTCTTTCTGTGCATGTGTGGTTGGAGAGGTCTCCTGACTTTGGAAACAAGAAGTCTGTGGTCTGAGCAGGGCCCAGCCTCCTCTCTTAATGGCCCTGCTATTCTTGTCTTGGAGTTTCAGTCGATAGAGAATGAATCTCCAATTGCTTTACCCTGGGGAGGCCCATCTGCCTCCTACCTCAGCCCATGAAGCTTTGTTTTCTTCCAATTTGGTGACTAGTTCTTCTAGCACACTGACCGAAGAGTAAGCATTGACTGGGAGGTATTGATTTTGAAGACAGATTTGAGGCGATTAGAAAGGCTTCAGTACAGAAAAATAAAAATAAAATAGAGGGAAAGTTAGGGAATAAAGAGATATGAGAGTCAAACCTCCATGCAGAAAAATCCCAAATAATTTATGTAGATAGTCTCACCTCAGGAGATGGAGCATATCTTTCCAACCTTTTAGTGTGAAGTGAACTGAGAGACTTCCTCCCAGAAAGGACAGTCTGGAAAGGGAGAAAAAAAAAATAATTTACACTTCTTGACTTAAAAAAAAAAAAGCACAACATGAAAGTTGCAAGTTAAGCTTCATTTGGGGCAAAATGAGGACTGCAGCCTAGGAGACAGCACCTCAGATAGCTCTAAGAAACTGCTCCAAAGAGGTACAGGAGAAGGTCAGTATATATGTGATTTTGGTGAAGGGAGAGTACATGCAATCAAGCACGTATTTTTTCCAGAAGGTTTCTGCTAGTCTGGTGAAGCTTTCTGCTAGACACAAGGAACAGCCATCACCATGAAGGATTTTAGTGCTTTTCTAGACATGAGGGGGCTTCCCAGGTGACACCAGTGGTAAAGAATCTGCCTGCCAATGCAGAAGATATAAGAACTGTAGGTTCGATCCCTAGGTCAGGAAGATCCCCTGGAGGAGGGCATGGCATCCCACTCCACTATCCTTGCCGGGAGAATCCCATGGACAGAGGAACCTGGCAGGCTACTGTCCATAGGGTATCAAAGAGTCAAACAAGACTGAAGTGACTTCACACACATGCACACTAGATGTAAGGAGGTATAAGAATTGGGTTCATAAAATCCATTCCAGAAAATATCTGAAGACCTGTTATGCCAGTTTTTCCCCGAGCACAGACTGCCTCATTTCTGCTCTCCACCCTGAACTCATTTCAGAGGGTCTTGAAAATCAGCAGCTGCAGCAGCACATGATTTAATCCTTGTAGAGACAGATGGCAAGTGCCCATGGCAAGTGCCAGTTTGTAGTTGATACATTAGAGCATCTTGACCTCAAACTCTGACGCATGTTAGCATCAATAGAGAAAAATCCTTTGACAGTATGTACCCTTGATATGATATGATAACAGTGATACTTTATACATGTGTGTCCTTCCTCTGAAACACTAATAACCTCAGTCCAACCACGAATGAGAAAACAAGAGACAGACCCCAGTTGAGGAACATTCTACAAAATTCTGGAGCAGTGCTCCTAAAAACTGTGAAGGCCATCAAAACAAAGAATTATAAGATGGTATTGAAGGAGCTACTCAACATAACCTAACCCATCCTGATCATCCCAGCAGATGGGATACATTATCTGTGGAGAATTTAAAAACAATAAATCTGACTCAACTTTGGTTTGTTTGTTTTTTTTTAATCACGTGTACCAACAATCCTAAACTGGGTTGGTAACAAAATATTCTTCCTTGCTGGACCAGATTACTCAACAGCCACCCTCTCCCTTCCCCAGTGTCACCAATCTTGAAAAATACAACTGAAAAATTTAAGCATTGACTAATTTTTTTATTTATTTATGGCTGTGCTGAGTCTTCATTGTGCACAGGATTTTCTCTAGTAGTGGCAAGTGGGGGCTACCCTCAAATTGTGGTGTGAGGGCCCCTTATTGTGGTGATTTCTCTGGTTGCAGAGCACAGGCTCTCGGGTGCACCCGGGTTTCAGAGACCAGAGCACAGGCTCAATAGCTGTGGCACCAGGGCTTAGCTGCTCTGCAACACGTGGGATCTTCCCAGAACAGGGCTCATACCTGTGTCTCCTGTACCGGCGGGCAGATTCTTCACCACTGAGCCACCAGGTAAGCCCTCGATCGGTTTTAAAATAAGCACAAGTTGCTTTTATCAAAAAGGGAAAATAAAATCTTTAAATAACAGTAACAGGAAAGGCATTAGATGTTGGTAAAGTGTGCCAAGATCCCACGCTTGTCTTTAGGGAGAGAAGAGGCTGACATGAGGCATTAAAAGGACTACAATTGGAGTGTGAAAGTTTTAATGAGATACAGTATTTACTAGTCATGTTGACTGACTTGGTTTAATGTGTTTTGCTGATCGTTTATTCTGTTAACATAAGTTTAAATAAATATGTCTGTATTTGATTTGTGTTTCTTCTTGTAATTATTATCATTGCCTGTCTTCCTCTTGTCCTTCCTCATACAGTCAAGGAGGAACCTAAAAAATGTTACAGTGCAGGTCCAGAGGTCCAGCCACATTATTTGTTGCTAGAGACTTTGTTCCCTTTGATATTTGATCTGATAGCCAGGCCTTAACAAAAAGCAGTGGCATTTTCCCACAATGACTTACTGTACTTTCACCCACGCCTTCCTAGCTCAATTTTGGGGGGAGTAGAAGAGTGCAGGGGTGCCTGGGTTTTGCCTGGGTTTCACTGCCTTCCAGTCTCACACACCGGGCAGATCTTTGACAAGACATCTATGATGAAAAAGTATTTTTGAGGCGGGTGGGGATGGTGCATGATTCAAGTTAGATTTTGCACCTAAGGATAGTTTAAGAAAACCCAGTATCCCCAAATCCAAACTTTGAAAACAAGCTAACCAGGTAGCAGTTACACACAAAGATGCCTCTACTTACAAAAGCCTTCACCGGAGTTTTCTTTTATCAGTCATCTACTCCCTTACACTGTTCTCATTGTGTTTCAGAAAGCTGTTTACAAATTTCAGAGTCTGTCTACGTTATAAAGGCGATTTTTTAAAAAATATTTTTATTTATTTATTTGGCTCCACTGGGTCTTCACTGAGGCACGTGGGATCTTCACTGAGGCATGTGGGATCTTCAGTCTTTGTTGTGGCACACAGGCTCTTTCAGTTGCGGCATGCGAGATCTAGATCTCTGACCAAGAATTGAACCCTGGCCCCCTGCATTGGGAGCTCAGTCTTAGCCACTGGACCACCAGGGAAGCCCCAAAGGCGATTTTTAAAATATAACTTGTCATCCCAGCGTTAACAGTGGCACCATTCTGGTTTAATTCCCCGCCGTATGACACCTTATGCATACAGGATGCACATTATTATAGTATACCGATCACTGTCTATTTGGTATGTATTGTTACAAGCTGTGTTTTACCCCCTACCGTGACGCGAGAAGGGCGTGGCCATTAGAGGCCCCGCCTCCCACGCGGAGGTGTGTCCGCTCCCGCAGCTACTGTTTATCTGTCGGCCCGAACCAGCTGCAGCCCGCTCCAGAGATTCTCCCTTCTTTCTTGTAGCTGCTCCGCCTCCCTAAACTTTCCACTTTCCCCCGCAGAGTCTCTTAGGCATCTAACTGGCTCCAGCCCTCCCACGTTCGGCTTCAAGACGAAAAGAAAACCCCTAAAAGTCGCAGTCACGTTTCGGGGAGGAAGGCTGACGATACTCCCCGGGGAACCAGGAGACCGAGGCCCCCAGCCGCGCGGGACGGAGCGCGCTCCCGCGTGGGTGTGGCCCCTCCGGGTCCCCTGGCTCATCCTCCTGGAACTCGCCGCGGCGGACACGCGCCCGCCCCCCTAGGCGGGGACGCGCCGCCGGGGGAAGCGCGCGGCCGCGAGCCCGGGCGCCATTTTGGTTTCTGTCTCTGGGCCGCTTCGCAGAGAACCTACGCGGTGGCTGCAGCTCCCTGAAGCCGTCCTTTTCCCTGCGACAAAGGGACCCAGGAGAAGGACACGGACGGCGCGAGACTGAGGAGGGCGGCTTCTCTCTGGGCAGCCAGAACCGCAAAGGTGGAGCCGCGTTGGCGCCCCCCAGGCGACCAGCGCCTCGGATGCGGGCGGAGCGCGGGGGGCCGCGGCGGCGGGAGCGCGAGACGCGGGGCCCGCAGGGCCTCATGTGAGAGCCGCGGGACCAGCCGCCCTCGGAGTCCGGGGTGGAGCGTGGGGGAAGCCGCCCTCGGCAGCAGGTAACGGTGTAAGGTCGGGGCCGGAGCCTCGCGGCGGCGGCGGGACCAGATAGGGTCGCGGAGGTGGGCGGGCCGGGGGTGGGGGGGAACTCGGGGACCGAGAGTGCGCGGGCCGCCCCTCGAGAGGGCGGGGCGCGACGAGGCGCCCGGGGCCTGTTTGGGGGCGTTGCCCCGCGAACCTGCTTCAAAACATGTCAGTAAGGCGTGGTCCGTGCGCGGCGCCCGGCGGCAGCCTCTTCCGACGCCGCCGCTGCGCCAGAGGCTCGCCGCGCCTGTCGCCCGCATTTGTGACCCTGGGCGGGGGCTGGTGACCGACACCCGAGCGCTCGCGCTCGGCCTGGCTTTGAGAAATGAGGGACATTAAGATGTCAAAACAGACTGCCCAGGATAGGGCGCGGGAGACGAGTCGGGGAAAGCCAATTGGAGGAGGTGGCGCGGGAGGAGGGGAAACTTCGGCCGCGCGTAGCCAAGTGGAAAAGTTGATCAACTTGCGATGAGCAGCTTTGCCCCTGCTTTGAGCGAGAGTAGCTCTTTTAGCTGGAGTTGCAAACAGGAATCAGGAAAAAGCCTATTAAGTGATTGGCCTGCATCGCCGCGCTTAGAGATAAGCAGTTATTTCGTTGCTGAACATGTCCAATATAATCTCTCAGATCTTTCAGAATCTTTCTTTTCCCCTTCTCATGAAATCTTTATAAAAATGCCATCAACTCCCAGTATCTACAAATGATCGGTGAACCAGTTTTCACCACCCCACTCTAATACCATCTAGTTCTGAGAGCCAGTCTGTTGGGACCCTTTTAGTCTTGTATTCTAGCCAAAGAATGCATGTCAATTTTGTTATTAGTCAAAGAGCATAAATGGAAAGGAAATGTGATGCCAAAACAGGCTTTTTAGAGCTAGATACAATCGAGCTTTTAAAATTACTATGATCGCTGTGTGCTAAAAAAAAATAATGAAGGGCATATAGCCAAGTGTCCTCTTAAGCTCTTCATCTGAACAAAGTGACTGCTCCTTTCAGAGCATATGGAAGTGTTTAGAGTTAATAGCATAATTTTCTGTGATGCTTGATCAGGGTGGAGTCTTAGGTCATTCGTTTGTTTTTTGATGTTCCATAGGAGCATCAGTCTCACCGAATGCTTTTAGTGGCCCAAGTTGCATCAACTTTGGGGGGCCTGGAAAAGTCACATTTTGAAGTGAACTGCCAGAGGCATGAAGCAGCCTAGTTTGGGTGCGCTCCTAAATCTATGAGAGGTTGATCATCCATCTTCTCTGCAGTCAAATTCTAGTGTGAGAGGGGGTTTTCATTTTGACTAAAAGTAAGAAGTCGTCCATTGACATAAATTCTTTGCAGACTGGTAGATGCTCTAAATTTAACTTTCTTTATAGCAGAGCTTCATGTGTAAATAGATTTAATAAAATACTTTTGAAGGCAGTGTAAATTTTTGCATGAATTGTCTTGGAAAAGATTTGACATTAAAATGTTTTCATAGGTACCCACTATGATCTGATGTTTTTACATGTAAATGAGGGTAATACAGAGACATTTGTAGTGGCATTTGGTCTTAATTTTTTTGTTGTTGCTTTATATACTGTTATTCTGACATTTTACAGTAGTCAAATATGACAGTTTAAAGTCTACAGTTCAGCTAGTTAGAGACTGTTGTTATTTAGTCGCTAAGTCATGTCCTGCTGTTTGTGACCCATTGAACTGCAGTCTCTGTCATGGGATTTCCCAGGCAAGAATACTGGAGTGGGTTGCCATCTCCTTCCTCTACCAGGGTATCTTCCTGACCAGGGATTGAACCCACATCTTCTGTAGTGGCAGGTGGATTTTTTTTTTACCTCTGAGCCACCAGAGAAGCCCTCTTTGTAATATGTCAGCTTTTTCCTCTACTTCATTTGGAAAGATACTGAAATATACTTCTATTTAAAACAAGGCTGCAATAGACAAAAGGTATTTGTTGTTAGAATTAGCAATGTATTAGCAAAGATAATTGTGTAAATAAGGTTGTTTTATTTTTGTTTATATATCCATATGAATCATTCCATCTTTAAATTAAATAGTTCTGGTTTTAGAAGACTTTTCTCCAGAAATAGAAGATCAGCATTCTATAGTGAGGGGTAGAAATTATAAAGATAACTTCATTCTTTTTGAATCTCAGTATCTCAAAATGCTGAGTAGTTTTAGGTAGTCAGAAGAGAAATTATAAACCCTGGGTAGCAAACTCTTTGTTCTTTGACCTAAATTTTGTATGCTAAAATTAAAGTAAGCCTTCAAGATAAGTTAAAGCAGAAAAATGGGTCATAATGACAGTGTTATCTCAACCTTTAGTAAGACATTATTCCTAGGAGAGTTTTTTTTAAATACTAAAGATGACATTATAGATTATACTGTCTTTTCTCTAAACATATTTGAAAAATGTATTCTTAGTTTCACATGTAAGTTTTAGTCTTCCATAAAACTAGCCTCTTGCTATCACCTCTCATTCTTTGTTTTCCCTTTCTTTCCCTCTGCACAGTAGGATATACCTCATTTACTTTACTTAATGTATAGTTGGAAGTAGGAGTAATGAGGAATAGGCAGTTTATTGCACATGTCCTAAGACCTCCTGGACTGATCTTAATAGTGTGAGAGCCAGGGTCCTCTGCACCCAGTCCTCCTTCAGAGTTTTAGCTGCTACTGGAAAGAAAGAGTCTGCAGAGATGTATTTGGTTGAGAGCCATGCACATGTATGTCCTACACAAGAATCAGAATTCTGACGTGCTGATGTGCCAGGAGAAGGGAGTTGGAGCTATAAGCCATCCTGTGTGAAAAAGCTGTGTCTCCAAATCCAAACTATACCTGTCAGAAACTGCTCTCTAGAGACAAAAGAATCGCAGGCTCTGAACTAAATAGAGGTACCAGTGAGTGGACTGCAGTTGCCCTCATTTAGTTAGAGCCTTCAGTACTTAAATATAAAACAAGACCTTTTATCTGATTGCATTGTAATTCATTGACATTAACAGGCATGTGTAAAGTTTAAGAAAACATACTGGCAAAAAAAATTCATTATGTAATCCCACCACAGTTGTTATCCCACAATTATGAATATAATATTATACAGTCTCACTATTACCGTTACTATATTAATGTGGTAATCTATTTCCAACATGTTTTTCTCATACATGAGCTTGCGTTCTCACACATTCTCATATACACTTCGTGTTAAAATAAATTTAGGATCATTGTTTACCTTCTGGCTGAAACCTCAGTTTCTACATTAATGTTTTTAATACAAGACTACTTTCCTATACCTGAGTTCAGCAGTCATCGACGTCTCCTTTCAAAAGTCCTAGTACTGTTTAATTCCTCACAGGATCCCGGTGTGTTTCTGTTATCCCCATTTTACAAGCTGAAGCCCAGGAAGGTCGAGTAATTTGTTAACGGCCACATGAGCAGTGAGAAGGAGAGCCAGGGAGCTCAATTCCAGAGCCCAGTCTCCTTATCCACACTACTAGTTTACGCCATTCCGTCGTGGCTAAGATGGTAAAGAATCTGTCTGCAATGCGGAAGACCCCGGGTTGATCCCTGGGTTGGGAAGCTCCCCTGGAGAAGGGAAGGGCAACCTACTCCAGTATTCTTGCCTGGAAATTCCATTCCTATTTTACAACAACACCAGAAACCAAGTAGAATCAAGGCAGGACCAATACATAGAATAAACACTCACCTGTCATTCAGAAATACAACTTGGATAAAACATTGCAACAGCTAGTGAAGTGTTGGAAGAAGCAGCCGCATTCCAGAGCAAACTATGCACAGAACAGGTGGGTTTGCTCGTTTTAGGCAAAGCTTGGGTCTGGCAGTAACACACGTGACAGGCCACTCACTGTGGGAAGATCTGTCAGCGACTTCATTCAGATCCTGTCTGAATGTTCCTGTGGTTCTGTGTGCCATGAGTTCAGAAACTCAGATGTAGTAGGTATCCTTAGATGACTTTTAAGAGATCTTGAGGAAATGTCCCTGTAGGTTCTCTTTTGTATTTAATAGTTGACTAAAACTTTGGAAATGTAAATGCTTGGTTTGGTTTCAAAGCTACAATAAACTTCTCCTCCACATAGTACAGTGCAAATACACATGCTTAAATTAAAAGTACCTGACAAAGATACAAGGTTGTGAAATGACAGTTGGTCTTTACTGGAGTTTTTTTTATTATATTTTGCTTTGACGTTCTTCTCCTTGAATGTCTGGTCCAGTTCTCCTGCATGTTTATGTTTGTATTTATAGGCATGTGTATACATCTCAGTGACAGAAGAATGAATTTTGGATTTGTGTCTATTGAAAAGTTAAGTACAAAAAAAGAATGATGCATTTTTTTCTGAATAGGATGAAACGAGGAGGAAGAGATAGTGGCCATGATTCATCAGAAGAAGGTACTGCCGAGAAATCCAAAAGACTGCGGACTACAAGTGAGCATTCTCAGACTTGTGATTGGGGTAATCTCCTTCAGGACATTGTTCTCCAAGTATTTAAGTATTTGCCTCTTCTTGACCGGGCTCATGCTTCACAAGTTTGCCGCAACTGGAACCAGGTATTTCACATGCCTGACTTGTGGAGATGTTTTGAATTTGAACTGAATCAGCCAGCTACATCTTATTTGAAAGCTACACATCCAGAGCTGATCAAACAGATTATTAAAAGACATTCAAATCATCTACAGTACGTCAGCTTCAAGGTAATACTTTAAATCATTCTTTTTAAAAATAAAGTGTATTTAGTGGCCTTTGTGGGGGCTTCCCAAGGTGGCAGGTAACCCACCTGCCAATGTAGGAGATAGACGCAGGTTCAGTCCCTGGGTTGGGAAGATCCCCTGGAGGAAGGCATGGCAACCCACTCCAGTATTCTTGCCTGGAGAATCCCCATGGACAGAGGAGCTTGGAAGGCTCTGGTCCATGGGGTATCAAAGAGTCAGACATGACTGAAGCGACTTGGTATGTACACACGCAGTGGCTTTTGTGTCCCAAACCGACACATTTTCCCATGTCTTTAAACTATTGCTTTTCTAGGGAAAGTGCTTAAAGATTTAGAATAATTGTGTACCTTAGAGGCTGTCACAGATAACTGTATTGAGCTAAATTATTCCATTTTATTGTAAATCTTAATAATTTAAATTATTTTCATAATTTCTTGAAAGCAGAAGCAGCCATTAAATAAACAAATCATACACTGAAACCATCACATTGAGTTATTATGAACAAATTTGAGCCAAAAGAAATACATATTAAATGTAGACGTTTTTATTAAAACTTCATTTTAATAAAATGAAGTCTGAGTTTTGTTTATTGATAGCTTTGTGATATGGGGTTCATTAAAGAGAAAGGAGATATAGACACTCTGTGTAAAAAGTTTAGATGAATATATTTTAGAGAGAAATAGAAAAAGGTACACGAAAGATGCCAAAGAGAACTCTTTCTTTTCTTTGCCAGCAGGGACATACTGGAAGTTAGGCAGTAATGAGATAAATGAAGTGAGGTCGCTTTTTGAGAGGTTCAGAGTGGTTTAAAGAATCACAGTTGGTGTGTGTGAGCACAGAGGCTTGTCACGTTTTGTTCTGGGGATGAATAATGAAATGTGGATATGTTCACTAAATCCTTAACACACCCTATAATTACTGTTGAAGTAACACATGAATACATGGTTTGCCAGATGCAGCTGATGTTAAACAGGTCAAGTTAAACCCAGATATTGCAGTAATTCTTAACCCAGAGATCCTTGCCAAAACTAGTCCCGTCTGCTCCCAAGACTGTCATTCTGTTTTAAATGGAGATTGTCTGTTTATTCTCTCATAGGTGTCACAGGAGGAGAGACCTGGTGTTGGGAGTGGTTGGGTGTCTTATGGCTGTCTTTCCAGAAAACTGCACAGACACTTAGACCACCGAGTGAAGGATTGCTAGGTCTAGCAAATAAAAATGATGGATGCCTAGTTAAGTTTGAGTTTCAGATAATCTGTGGCTAATTGTTAGTGTAAATGTCCCTTGCATTATTTGTAAGTAAGTAAAGTCGCTCAGTCGGGTCCGACTCTTTGTGACGCCATGGACGGTAGCCTACCAGGCTCCTCTGTCCATGGGATTTTCCAGGTAAGGATATTGGAGTGGGTTGCCATTTCCTTCTTCTTGCATTATTTGGGACATATCTAATACTTAACTGGATGACTTGGATGTTATGTCTCAACCCTAGCTGAGGGCGAGGCTGGGGGAATGGTGGGAGGAAGAACAAACAAAAATCCAGGAGCTTCTCATGTGTTGTCCCTCTCTTGACTGCCCATGAGGAAACCTGAGAGCCTTTTCGGTTTCAGTCATCTTTGAGTTGTCTAAAAGTGTTCCTATGGTAAATCCTATAACAAGATGAGTATAATGCATTAATCTCCTAGGTCTAAAGACCAGTTCCATCCAGTCGGTTGGCTGTTTCAGTGTTAACCTGTGGCACAGCTCAGCTGTATCCAACTTGTATAACCATCACAAAACCATTTCTCCTATAAGTGTTAAGCATTTTTTTTAAGGGATTGTTTATCTTTCTGAGGAAATTTCTGTTTTGCAAAAACACACCCCAAGATCCTTCTGAACTCTCCTGATAATATTTGTGTTTAATTCATCACTGACTGTAGGCCAAAGAGTCTTGTAGTCAGAGTTATTAATGTAGAATCGTGGTTCTCACACATTATGTGCATCAGAAATGCCTGGAGTGCTTCTTAAGACAAAGGATTGCTGGGTTCCTCCCCAGTCCCATCCCCGTTTCTAATTCAGGTAGTCTGGATTAGGCATGAGAGTGTGCATTTCTAACAGGTTCCCAGATGATGTTTTTGCTATTGGTTCAGAAACACAGCAGTTCTCAAAAGAACCACTGGTAAGCTCTGAAACTGTAATGTAAATCGGTGCATCAGTTTTACAGCAGAATCTTCAGAACATTTTTGGGTTAAGATAGCATACATCAATCTGGAAATTAAAGAAATAATGTTACTTTTAACTACTCTGTTTAAAATGCTTTGTATCCTGGGGGACAACTTCTTTCTTGAAAGAAGAGCTCCTTGATCTATCACTAAGGAGTGTTTTGGTCATGTTTCCCTTCCCCCCAGGAGAGGTCTGTGCAGAAGAGCATATGGTGCAGTGTATGTGCTCTTCTAATGGTGAATCCCAGGTTGTGATTTACCTGAATCTCTTGAGTAAATACTTATTCAGTTTGTTTTAAAGCATTTGTACCATTGGCACTGTATTTACATGTGCCACTACCAACTATATAATTATTTTTCAAAGATTATAAATTTATGTTTATACTAGGTTTTATAGTGCATTTGGAATAAATCAACTTAATAGCTAAGTCCTTTTAACAATAACTAAGTATCTTATCGCGGCCAAAGTTAAGTCTTGACAGTTGCCCTTATTGACATTGTATGTGAGGGTAGATGATTGAAAGGATAAATATTCATTCTGTAGATTATAACGCAGTAAGCTAATAACTGTATCTCTTGCTTTTGTGACGTTGAAATGCACTCAGAGGAGTGTGACCATATTCACGTGTGAAGGACATTTCTTTCCCCAGGTGGACAGCAGCAAAGAGTCAGCTGAGGCAGCTTGTGATATATTATCACAGCTTGTGAACTGCTCTTTAAAAACACTCGGACTTATTTCAACTGCTCGGCCAAGCTTTATGGATTTACCAAAGGTATCTGCTGTTTTTTTTTTTTTTTTTAAATTAATTTTTACTGAGAAATCCAGGGAGACTCTACCCATTTTTTCCACTTATAGTGGGAATATAAGAAAAGTGGTGTGTATATATTGAAAAGCCAGTTACTATTTAGAATGTTAAGTCTTACAATTTTTTAGAGAGCATTTCCTGTTTTTGAATCACTTTGTGCTGCTTTTTGGGTAATGTTAAAGTGAATGAATTTGCAGAAGATTCTATATGAAATACTGAAAGAGACTAAGTAAAACTGAGATATAAGCATGTTAGAAGAAAAGAGACATACATCAATAGATGCTCTTTTTGGACTTTCAGAGCAGATTGGTGAGATTATAATGAAAGAAAAGTAGTGCCAGTATTAAGAGCAGATAGAGCTCGCTTGGAAAATCTTTTGTTGATTGTGTAAAGATTGCGATTGTGTAAAGATTGCTTCTTGAGCACAGTTAATATTAGTACAGTTATTTATTGTAGCACTACACAGATAATGTGTTTTTTACAAATTGAAGATTTGTGGCAACCCTGTGTCAAGTCTATTGATGTCATTTTTCCAACAGCATTTTCTCACTTCATGTCTCTGTCACATTTGGGTAATTCTTGCAGTATTTCAGACTTTTTCATTATTATTATACTTGTTATGGTAATCTGTGATCAGTGATCTTTGACATTACTATTGCAAGAAGATTACAACTTGCTGAAGACTTAGGTGATAGTTAGCATATTGTAGCAATAAAGTATTTTTTAGTTAACGAATATACATTGTTTTTTAAATGTAATGCTGTTCACACTTAATAGATTATAGCATAGTGTAAACATTACTTTTATATGAAGTAGGAAACTAAAAACTTGTGTGACTTGCTTTATTGTAATAGTCGCTTTGTTCTGGTGATCCAGAACCGATTCCTGCAATATCTGAGTTATGTCTGTGTTACTAGCTTGTTTTATATATATATATATATATATATATATATATACACACACACACACACACACACACACACACATATACATACACACACACACACACAGTATATACTTGATATATAGTATATATACTATAATATAACTGGGTTATATTATAACCCAGGTTGTTAAATGGAATGTCAGTAACAGATGTATCACAGGTTGATTTCGAAGTCTCAATAAGGTACATTTGAGATAAATTATTTTCCTCATGTAAAATAAGGGAAAGGGGAGAGTCTGCTTGTGTCAACATTTTCAGATTCTGAGGACATGAGTTCAGTCATGTGGTTCTCAAACTGAATATGCATAACAGTCATCTTTGAAACTTCTAAACTTTGGATATTCCTAGTCCCAAATTTCTTTTTCTTAAGAGCAGTCCAGGTGGTTCTGATTACAATGATTCAAGGCCCTCACTCTTAAGAGGCACCGAGTTACATGGTACAGTAGTGCCTTGTTTAAGCTTCAAATGGGAAATGAAATCATCTGATTAATTTTTCTATTACATACTGTAGTTAGAAACCAAACATATAGTATATATAGGAAATATGCTATAAGGTATGTTGGATATAATTTCCTTTTTTTCTTATTACTCAGGATGATCATTATGCATATCTAGTACTAATACTGTATAAATCATAAGGTTTTATCAGAGTACACCATAAACTAAAATATAGACACCTCTTTAAACACCTAATCGTTTAATTTACTTTCATGTCATTTTGGTTTGGGGAACTAGGGGTGCATCTGGGACTGCTTGCTTCCTTAGTCAGTAAGCGTAGGATGCTTATGCTCTTTTTCTTTCTTTTCCTGTTATGGCTTTTGTAGAAGATTGAAGTAGGCTGTTGATACATCTTGGAAATCCTGAAAGAACTGAAGAGAACATGAAAGAAGCGTATTTGACCAGGGCTAACTCTGAGGGAAGTGGGAAAAAGGAAAGCAGAGATGGAGTCATGCATATACTAATGTAGTGTGATTGTAGAAGATACAATTGAATTTGATATGGAAATCAAATTAGGAGAAAGATGTTAACATTTAAGTTGTTGAATAGTTACTTAATCAAAACTTAAATAATTATTTAACCACAATAGGAAAAAGTAATTTAGGAAATGTGACCAAGAAAATAATGTTTCTTGTACTTTCTTGGCTACTAGCCTGCCCTTATCTCTTTGACTGGTGTAGTGAGTCCATTGGTTATGGCTTATTAGCTCTGATTCAGAGTCCCAGACTTTGTGCTTTAATTTTGGTTTCCCTACAATGGTTCCTTTAGGTCAGATTTTGTGTCCAACAGGATATTATAATTACTACATAGAATATTATATAATAAAGGGTAGATTGTTAATTGGTACATGTGTGTTAAAAATACCTTAAAATACCTTTGAAAATAGTATAATTTAACATATTTAAAGGAGTTTTAAATTTGAAATTTTACTTAGTTATGATTTTTATTATTTTAGAATCAAGTTTTATATGAGCTTCCATATTCTAAATAAGCTTTATATAGCTTCTAAGTTCATTGGCTTTAATTTTTGATGGTTATGCTAATAGCTATTACTATTTTAGTGGTCGTTACCATCACCAAGAAAGAATGCAGTTTGGTGTCATCATGCACGGGAGCAGGGTTTCGGGGAAGCTTGACGTGAAGCGTCTGAGAGGCGCTCACGCAGGGCTCCACAGCTCCTCTGTTTACTGACCAGTGACTGTTGTGATTCAGAGACACCTGTCATGAGGCTGGAAATCTTTTTTCCCCCGAGATAAAAAGGCCCTTCACAAAGATATCAGGAGCTCACCTCTCTTTACCATATTCCTACCATAGTCCCTCAACAGAGTGAGGGGCTGCTGCTATCCCAAAACAGTTATAAATGCATCATTAGGGTTCAGATGAACTGTTTATGTATTATATGAAGACCCTTCAATTCTCTATTTGTAAAAACTGAAGCAGCGTTTTCATTGTTTGTTTTTCAGTCTCACTTCATCTCTGCACTGACAGTTGTGTTTGTAAACTCCAAATCCTTGTCCTCACTGAAGATAGATGACACGCCAGTAGATGATCCCTCCCTCAAAGTCCTAGTGGCCAACAACAGCGATACGCTCAAGCTGCTGAAAATGAGCAGCTGTCCTCATGTCTCTCCAGCAGGTGTGCTGTTGTTTTGCCAGATATTTTAGTAAAATGTATTGTTGTGTTTATCAAATTAAGGGGAATTAATGATTATTAACTTTGAAGGTGGGTTCATAGGATTTATTTCCTCTCTATTGCATAATATTTTTAATGTAAATAGTAGTATAAATTCTGTATCATTCCTAACCTAGACATTTATTTTCAACTTTTCTAATCTTCTTATTTGGCAGTTTGTGTCCAGCCTGTGCCAGAAAATGTATAAATTAAAAAAATAAAAGGAAGGGACAGTATAAGGTCGGCCTGAGATGGCCATTTTGGTAAAGTAGACTTTTCTTAAATCGTGGTTGAGCTAACAGGGTAGTTTTGAGTCAAAGCAATCTTGCAATTGCTTTTTGTTTCATGATATAGAAAGAGAAGAGTTTTGCTGAAGTCATTACCTCACATTTTGCAAGATAACCTTTTCCAAAGTTGAGTTTTGGAGCTGAAAGCCCATCAAATGGAGGAGTAGCATTATTAAAGCTCTTTCCAGCTTTCCTTGCATAGGCTTAAGAATTATTACATTATTCAGTTTGAGAGCATTTAAATTCCAAATGGTTTGTATTGTAAAATGATTATAAACCTACACTTTGTCTTAGTCGCATGCTTCACTCCTGACTTGCCCTCCCACTGTTGACAGCTCTCCCAGCCCTTCAGCTGTGTTATTTGGGAAATCTGGTTTGATCTCTTAACAGAATACTTCCCCCTCTCCTTGCTGTCACTGAAGCCTGGCCTTCCCCTAAGAAAATGATACCTTGTCGGATGGACATTACTTCCTGTCCTTCCTTGTCTCCCGCATGGAGGGTCTGGTGATGGGAGTGGTGAGGTCTGTCTGTTGCGGTGTTTCCCTGGCTTTTTTTGCCGCTTCTAGATTATCACTGACGGTGATAACCTAAGTGTAAAATAGAAGTTAAGAAGATTGGGCTTTGGGAGTTCCTTCTCATTGTGAACTTAGTCACATTTTACTGTCCATTGTATAGAGTATGGTTCATGCTTCATAGCTTCGTAGTGTACAAAGTTCTTTGTATCCTGACCTTCACCTCTCTCTTGAATCTTGTTTGCTTTTTACTCACATGCAGCTTTTATTTGAGTCCTAGATAATGACAGTTCTCTGTACATGTGTTTGGTCAGTATACTGTACCTTGAGGAATACCTTTAAATAAAATTTTTTTTTTCACCTCTTCACCTGGTTAACTCCAGTCCAGCCTTCAAATTAAGTTCAGGTGTCTCGCTTTTTTCCTCCTGTCTGCTTTAGAACCCCCACCTACTGTTTCCAGAGCACTGTGAATGTAACTTGTAGTATTTAACCACACTAATGAGAGCCTTTGGGTCTCAGGTTTCTCTGTGAAACTGAGTTGTTTATTCTCTTTATCCTGGTACATCCCATGTTTGTTTATTTTTATTAAATATATATATATATATCAATTCTCATAGTATAAGCTTGCTTGATCTTACCAAGCTTGAATGGCATTTGGATTAGTTGTTTGGGAAAGAGAGCGCACCTGTGATATTCTTTAAGAATATAAGCATAGAGGGTTTTAATTTAAAATTTAACACTTGTGTGTATTCTTTCTGTTCATATTTTGCATATTTAGTTTCTTAAGTTGAAATTAAAGAATGTTTTCTATGCTTTCTTCACTCAACAGTTTTTCAGTTCATTTTATCAAACAGTTTTTCCCATTTCATGTAATCCTTACAGTTGTCTATTGCTGGACCTCTAAGTACAGTTTGACACCAGTGACTGTTCTTCTTGCTTATTTTAAAAATTTTAATTGGAGGATAATTGCTTTAGTGTTGTGTTACTTTCTGCTGTGTAACAGCATGAATCAGGCATAAGTATACATTTACCTACCCCCGCCTGAACCTCCCCCACCCCTTCCATCCCATCCTTCTGTAGTGACGGTTTGTGATTTTCCTCCTTCTTCTCTGTTTCCTTTGCTGGTTTCTCTTTTCCTTCCTTAAATTTTTGTGTCTGCCTGTGTTTTGTACTGGGCCCTTTATTATTTTACTCTGTAAACTCCAGGCTGTGTCATCTTCATCAGCGGCTTCAGTTACATTCTATATGTTAACGCCTCCTACTTCAGTGTTTCTGGAACTCCAGAGCTGTGTGTTGAACTGCCAATGACCCAGTGCCTCTAGACTGTCTCCGAGGTATGTCATACTAATGATCATCTCTTCCCCTTTTTGAAATCTCTTACTTCTCCCTTTTTACCATCTCAGTGAATGGCGCTGCTTATTTCCTTATCCAGGACCTAACAGACATCCTTGAATTCTTGTACCCTTACTTTTTACATCCCCCTGGTCCCTGAGGTCTGGTGACTCCATCACTGACAGTAGGCTTCAAATCTCTGTGCTGTGGACTGAATTTGTGGTGTTCTCACCTCCTGCCCCAGGTCACATGTTGATGCCCTACTCCCCAGTGTGATGGTGTCTGAAAGTGGGTTGGGAGTCATTTGGAGAAATCTCTATGGGATTAGTGCTTTTCTAAGAAAGAATAAGAAAGATATCTGGTCTGTCTTTCTGCCATGTGAAGACACAGCAAGAACATGGCCATCTATAATTCAGAAAGAGTTCTGGCCCTCGCAGAACCCAGCCTTGCTGGCTCCTTGATCTTCTTGATCTGGAAGCTGGACTTCCAGCTTCCAGAAATGGGAGAAATAAATGTTTATTGTTGAGCCACTCAGTCTATGGTATTCTGTTAAGCAGCTGAAATTAACACACTCTGCCTGCCTTCATCTCTAATCTAGCTCAGTGAGTACCCTTGTGAGTACCCTCTTAACTGATTTCCTAACTTGCAGCCTTGCTCGTTTCTAATTTGATTTCCACAGTAGCACCGAGAGTAATCTTTCTAAAATAGAATTTTGATTTTTTTTAATTTCCAATTTCCTTCAAAACTTCTCACTATGCTTTACGTAAGATCCAAACTTCTTACTGAGGCTGACAAGGTGTCCTATATGATCTGGTCCTTGTCTCTCTATTGGGTTTCAGCCTTTGACATACTCTATTTACATATTGCATGTTATGTTCCGTTCATTTCATAGAATGCTTGTGTTTTCGTCCATGTCTGAGTGTTTGCACAGGAAATAAACATTAATTTTCCTTGTCTGCTTGCCTTTTGCCTTCGCTTGATTCTTCTAATTCTGTAAGTCTGTGATAGATCTGGAAATTCTTCCCTGATTTCCTTGTTAACATTCCCAGAGCGTTCTTGTTTAATTTTCTGCTGGCTGTTAGGATAAGGATGTTTTGTTACTGTTGACTCTCTACCATCCTAGCACCAGTTCTTAACATATAAGGCACTCAGTAATTACCAGCTGAACTAATGAACATTTAGCTACTTAGTTTTCTTTCTTGTTGATAGGCCAACATTTGCCTCATAGTTCTTTTAAGGTTGAATATTTAACTTGTTTCCACTATTTGCTTTGATTAAAAAAAATGAACTATTTTGAAAATCCTTTACTTCTGTTAATTCCTTCCTTTGGTCATATTAAATAAAGAAGTGGAAGAGCTAGGTCAAAGAGTTTAGATTTTTTTTTTTTTTAATGTTTCCTGTGTTTTTTTCCAAAATGAGTTGGATGAATTTATACACCACCACCAATGTAATAGTTTTATTGTGACATAATTCATATATGATACAGTTCACAGTGCATTCATCACTACAGTCAATTTTAGAACACTTTTGCTATCCCCAAAAGGTCCTATGTCCCGCTTAGCTGTCACCCTCCAAAACATTAGCCCAGCCGGTCCTAGGCAGTCCCTGATCTACTTTCTGTCTCTGTAGATGTGCCTTTTCTGGGCATTTCATGTAAATGGAATCACATGTGGTCCTTTATGACTGTCTTTCTTTCACTTAGCCTTAGGTTTTCAAGGTTCATCCATATTGTTGCATGTATAATATTTCATTTATTTTTATTGCCAAATGATATTCCACTATATGAATAACAACCATATTTTTCTCTTGATCAGTTGATGGATATTTGGGCTGTTTACACCTTTTGATTATTGTGAATAATGCTGCTATTCAAATTTATGTAAAGGTTTTTGTATGGGCATATCATTTAGTTTCTCTTGGGTGTATAACAACAGTTGGAACTGCTGAATCATATCGTAACTCCATGTAGCCATTTGGGAAACTGATGGACTGTTTCCCAAAGCAGCTGTGTCCTTTTACATTTCTACTAGCAGTGTTTGAGGGCTCCCAACTTTTTCACCCCTCATCAACATGTATTATTTGTCTTTGATGATGGGTATCCTGGTGAATGTAAACTGGTATCTTGCTGTGGTTTTGGTATGTATTTTCTTGAATTCTCAGATGTCTTTTCCTGTGCTTATCGACTATTTGTCCATCTTCCTTGGAGAGATGTCTATCTGGATTCTTTGCTTATGTTGTAATTAGGTTATTTGTATTATTGAATTGTAATAATGTAGCAGTTTTATCTTTGTCACTGTTTTCTGTTAAACACTTGTAACTGTGTGTTAGTTTTCTGTTGTTGCATAATTAACAAATACAAATTTAGCAGTTTTTCATTAGCACCTCAGTTCTTTAGGTAAGAGCTGGAGGCATGGCTTGGACTCTGTTTATAGTCACAGAAGCTCTGAATCCGACTTCCTCTTCTGCAGCCAACCAGAGGAAACTGTTTATAGGGCTCATGTGATTAGATTAGGATCGCCTGGCTAATATTATTTTACTGCTAACTGTGCTATTTATAGCACTACATAATCATGGGAGTGCTCACCTTATCACATCAACAGTTTTCAGAGGTTATATGGCTTGACATCTTGAGGACAACTTTTAGAACCATGCCTGTTACAACTGTTTTAGTAGTTATTAAGGGATACCTCAAAGTTTCTTTCATTTGCATCTTTGCTTACCATTACCCGTGTGTTTATTTTCTTTTTAGATGAGGCTTTATGTGATTGCAGAGAGGAGAGATGTATTCACATTAACTTGGGTGATCAGGGGTTTATTTCAGAGTATATATACATGCCTTGTGGAGAACAGAGCTTGGTAGCCGAATAGTAAAGCACAGATGTCTTTTACTCCCTCTCTGGTGACTCTCTTGCACTGATGATTCACTTTATCACTGCACTGATTCCACTGCCTACATTCTCCTCCCACTGCTGTGTAAAAGCTTTGGCTTACTGGTGACCTCTGTCTTGTCACTTTCTAGGGAGTAGGTGAGCACACGCACTTAGGAGTCACCCAATCTGTTTGAATTCCAGCTTTGCTATCTTTAGCTAGCTGACTCAACTTTAAAACAGAAAAGATACTTATTTTTTAGATTTTTTGGGGGGTACTCGTGGGATAACATCTAGTGCCTGACATGTCATACTTGTACAATAAACAGTAGATCATATGTTGTGTGTTTTGTTTCCTGTCCTTGTTTCTATGGCTTGAGTTTGTCATTTATCAAGTAGTATCAGGGTGTCTCTTTGGGGTAGAGTTCTTACAGTAGGCACTTCAGAGATCAGAAACAAAACCTGCTCCTGCTCAGGGTTTTGGGTAGTTTTGAAGCATAGTGCCTGAAGTATAAGGAACCAGTTAAACAATGGTTAAGAGATTTCTGAGAATGTTAGCACTTTAAAAATCATAGTGTATATTTCCATTAATGTTAACTGAGCAGTTTTCTTTTCATTCATCTAGTGATATCTCAGTATTTTTTTTCTTAGAAATTTGACGTTTGTATTAGTAAACTCATTTGATAGAAATCTTTAAAAAATTTTTCTCAGATATTTCATATTGTTAATATAAATCATTATATCTGATTTTATTTTTTTCATTAAGATTAGATTTTTGAATGTCAAAAAATGTCTTTTAGCCTCTTTTCAGTGATCAAATAAATTTGTGTGTATGACTTTCTGCAGGTTCAATCAGTGCACCTAAACTTTTATAAGTTGTATAGCAAATGTGAAATTTTATTGTAGGACATGTACTTAATTACATTTTTGAACACATGATGACAAAACTTTATAAATAATTGGTCTTTTTCCTTCCAAGGTATCCTGTGTGTGGCTGATCAGTGTCATGGCTTACGTGAACTGGCCCTGAATTACCACTTGTTAAGTGATGAATTACTGCTTGCTTTATCTTCTGAAAAACATGTTCGATTAGAACATTTGCGCATTGACGTAGTCAGTGAGAATCCGGGACAGACTCACTTCCATACCATTCAGAAGAGCAGCTGGGATGCTTTCATCAGACATTCACCCAAAGTGAACTTAGTGATGTATTTTTTTTTATATGAAGAGGAATTTGATCCATTCTTTCGGTATGAAATACCTGCCACCCATCTTTACTTTGGGAGATCAGTAAGCAAAGATGTGCTTGGGCGTGTGGGAATGACATGCCCTAGACTAGTTGAACTAGTAGTGTGTGCTAATGGATTACGGCCACTTGATGAAGAGTTAATTCGCATTGCAGAACGTTGTAAAAATTTGTCAGCTATTGGACTAGGGGAATGTGAAGTCTCATGTAGTGCCTTTGTTGAGTTTGTGAAGATGTGTGGTGGCCGCCTGTCACAATTATCCATTATGGAAGAAGTATTAATTCCTGACCAAAAGTATAGTTTGGAGCAGATTCACTGGGAAGTGTCTAAGCATCTTGGCAGAGTATGGTTTCCAGACATGATGCCCACTTGGTAAAGGCCAGATGACATATGGCATGATGAATAGCACCTTAATTTTAACATACTGTATTATAATAAAAGTTTATTTCCTGTAGGTCTGATACAGTTCTTCTATTTTGTGGCACAGAAATTTGATACCTTCATTGAGTATATAAGGATTGTATTTTGGGAGACCTGTGGACCAGTTTTGGTCAGAAAACTTAAATCTATTTCTCTAATAGCAGTCAGATCTCAGATAATTAAAAAGTGATTCAGATCTGAAAGTAACAACCAGTAATAAAGATTAAACATTTTACACTCTGAAGGAAACAAATTCTATACATTGTAATATCTAATAAGTACTAATAAGTTTTCCAAAATGTTCTCTATGCATTTTTTAAAAAATGTAAACTTGACATTTTAGGGTCTTCAGTTATACATACACCTGTTATAAGGTGTTTAATATAGCTCAGGAAAGTGAGCATTTTGTGAGAAAAATGTAGGATATATTGAATCTCATGAAAAAGACTGGCTGAATGTTATAAAATGTTGCAGAGCTGTTTAAAGAGGTATATGTAGTTAATTGGAACACTTAAGAAACTGATGTCACACAGGGATTATTACAGAAAGATAATAAATAGAGCCAAGATCAAATTAAAGGAAAATAAGTGGACTAGAAGGGAGGCAGTGTTGAGCTTTGTGTAAACTTTTAGGGTTGCTCTATAATCTGCTAAACTATCTCAGTTCTTTTCTGTGATACATTACCATGTATGTGGCACTTGGGGCATCATATGTAAAGTAAGGAATGCTTTACCGGTTCTTCTTGGGTTTATCTTTGTTTAAACTAGTTTTGAAGCATTATACAATAATTGAAATGAGAAGCTTATATATCTCAAAAAACCAAATTAAAGGTAGAACTTAAAAATGCTTATAAATTGTTTCCATGAAAGAATATTAGTCTCCAGTGAATTTTAGTGATGGCTCATTTTTACATTTTCGAATTACATAGTTATGTAAGTAGAATTTTCAAAAAATTACAAAAGGAGCACCAATGTACAGTTCAGCATAAACAGTAAATTTAAAAGAGCATATATTTAAGTTCATAATCACATTTTTGAGTAAATATTGCTCAGTGAACTGGAAAACTAATAGAAAAATGTCTGTTTTGTGATTGTTAATTTGGTTACACTGGTATTTTACATTAAGTTAGGTAGCATTTTTACTACTTTCATATGAATAAGGTAATCCATACATTGTAGAAACTGTAAAAATACTAAGTTTGGGGCTATATTTAGTTTTTTAGGTATTATATAAACTTTGATTCTGAGCATTAGTGCTAGTAGACATTACCTTCCTGGGGGAATTAGAAGTGATTTACCCCCAATGCAATAGATTAGTGCTTGAAACTTAGAAAGCACCTTGGTAGATATGGAAGCCAACAGTCTTATGAATCTATTCTCAAATAGATTACCTTCCTAAGAATAAAAGTGATTTTCTACATAATTTGTGCTTTCAAAAGTGATGGTATTCTGACCACATATAAAGGAGAAGAAAAAAGGTTGATCTAGATATGGAAATTAAAAGCAATTATTATATATTCCTCCCTCTTACTAAACAGTAAAAAAGCTTGGATTGTACAAGAAATACCTGTTAGTGGATAATGCTTTTTTCTTTGAACAACTTTGGAAAATGGATTTGACAGTATGTAATCAGTTCTACTAACCAAAGCTTTATTTGGAGATTTACTTTTTGTACAGATTGAATTATATAATGCTTGAAATACTTTTGTCACTTTATAAGCAAAATGCTAGCACTTAATTTGTTTATACTGTATATGTTAAATGCTTTTATCAATTTGAGAATAAAGATAGTTACTAATGCTGTTATTAGTTTTTTTAAAACTTATTTGATTTTAAAACAAGTTAAACTTACAGATTTATGGTTTTAGTTTCAAATCCATATTTGATGGACATAATGTTAAATATTAAATAATGTATATGATAGGATTTTTTTAAAATTGAAGATAACAGGATTAGGCATTTAGAATAAGCATTTAATAAAACAGACTGTTCAGAAATAGAATTCTTAGGATCCTTGAAACCAGCTAGCATTTTTAGAAATGTCTTTACATAAATGTGTACAATCAGAATATTTTCTAAACAATGTTATTTTCATCTCATGTCTTAATGACTTTCATAAAATAACTTCAGTTTACCTTGGTAATCTTAAATCTGGGCTACTAACAATATTATCAGGAAAAAATAGGCATGACTGAAGATTAAATCAATTTACTGCATTTAAAGAATTTTTTATATTTATGGAAAAGCTTAGGATAGAAGGGAAGGGTTGGTATCAAGAAGGCTCAGGCCTGAACCTAGGTCCTTTAATAAGCTATAAATAAGCTCTGGGCTTCCCAGGTGGCTTAGAAAGGAAAGAATCTGTCCGTAATGCAGGAGACCCTGGTTTGATCTGTGAGTCAGGAAGATCCCCTGCAGAAGGTAATGGCTACCTGTTGCAGTATTCTTGCTTGGAGAATTCCATAGACAGAGGAGCCTGATGGGCCCCAGTCCATGGGGTCGGAAAGAATCAGTGTGACTAACACTTTTTTCACAAGCTCCACTCTGTCTTTCCATAGAGTCCAGCCCAGTTTATCTGTGAAGCCAGTTAAATGTTACCAAGCAGCCAGAAAAATTTTACCAACTTGCAGATACCCAACTTTCCTTAAAAAAAAAAAAAAAAAGACGTATCATATGATACATGAAAAAGAACACAAAACCTTTTACTCCAAAGTGAATTAAGAGCTTATCCTTAAAATAATTAGTCCAGTAAAAGAATATATGATTAACAGTGTCTTGTTTTAAATAGAAAACACAGAAGGATGGAGGAGCAGGATGCTATCTGGACAATAGAAGGGTAAATATGAGGAAGATGCTGGAAACAAACTTTGGCCAACTCATTTTCTGTGAATAGGGAAAAGTATGTGTGAGGTTTGAGAATGCTGCTGTTTAAGTCCCAAATATTTAAAGTGTAAGTTATTTTCACCTTTTGACTATTCTCGTTTAGCTATAAATGATGACACTTTGTGGGTATACTGACCTAATATGGAGCCAGAATCAATGAATGAGGATATACTTATTCTAAAGCTGTAACATAATTCAAACTGCAACTAAATGGGTTTTCATAGACAAAATTTTATACATTTACAACTTAACAGAAAAACAGAAATCACACGTAAGTTATATAGTAGCTCAAATGACAGCAAAATTTAATTGGGAAATTCCTGCCTGGCTTGTGTTTTGGTTTCCCAATGATCATTTATTTTAAAAGCTTGTTCCTGAATCATCTCTACTTCAAAGCCTTCACCTTCTAAGTATGGTTGGCAGGTTTGATAAATTCTTCAGCAGTACTCACATGAATGCTGTACACTGTTACAGTCATCTGAGTCTATGTCACTTTCATAGCATTTCTTCACTTGGTATTCTTAGGAACAGAGAAAACTGTGAATGCTTTGTTAGTTGCTCAGTCATGTCTGACTCTTTGAGACCCCATGGACTGTAATGCAGCCTGCCAGGCTTCCCTGTCCATGGAATTCTCCACGCAAGAATACTGGAATGGATTGCTATTTCCTTCTCCAGGGCGTCTTCCCCAACCCAGGGGCTGAACCTGGGTCTCCTGCATTGCTGGCAGATCCTTTACCATCTGAGCCACCAGGGAAGCAATGTAACTGTTAGAATCTTGCATTCAAGTCCCAGGTACGGATGTGCTCATTTGTCTTTGCAGCAAAGTCCTGTGGTTTACAGTTACCGCAAACCTGGCACAGGAGTCCTGCTTGTTACCCAGTGCAGTTCTGGAAGTCCAGAACAGTTTCCCAGAACAGTTTTCCTGAGGTGTCTGTAGAAGCTGACACTGCCTGCTTTTAGCCACTAGATGGTGATAGTGCAGAATCCAAGTTTTCTTATACTGTGAAGACATCCAGCAGGTTAGAAGCATAAGTAATGAGGAACGTTTTATGCTATTAACATGAGTCGGCTGAAGGGAGGCAGTGAGAGCAGTTCTCTGTGTGCACGTGGGTAAGATGCCCTCTCTGCAGCAGGCATCAGCATGATGGTGCTACTTGTGCTAAAGGCCTGGGTTTTTGTTTTCAGACTGTGTTTCAGAGCTAGTTTTGAAGTCAACGTATGAATTTATAGGCAAGTGAAAGAAAAGCAGAGTACAAGCCCCATTTTTTTTTTTATTATTAAGATTCAACAGAAACAAAATTAGTCCAACAAGTTGCTTTCAGAGTACCTCCTCGCAGACCAGTAACATACGGGGCTAGGCACATTTGGTCCAGGCATCGGTCTGAGGACCACACTTTGAGTAGCACTGAAAAGCCTCGCTGGACAGTGCATCCCGTTCGGTCAGCAGAACCTGATTCAAAATGAGGCTCCGTTACCACTAGCTGGGTAGCTGTGGAAAGGTCCGTTTCCTCATTTGAATCATGTAAACTACCTATGCTTAGGCTTTTTATAAAAACTCAATGTGCTAACCTCTTAGGAAGTACTCAAATGTGGGCAGAAACAAAATAGGATTGGTATATTTAAATATTAAATCCAGACTGTTTCCTCTGATCTCTGCATCATTTTACTGACTAGTATTTTTTCCCATGATTAGAAATAAGGTGTTCAGTTGATCATCAAACACTTTGAGGACCCTGACACCTTGTTCAATGGCCCTCTGAGAAGCACAGCTACTTGGTGATCCCTGACAAAAAGCTGCCCTCTCTCTGGGAAGTGTACCTCCTTCTGTTGCTGCAGCTTTCGTGTGTGGCGGAAGGGCTGTGAGGCAGTGAAGGAGTTAAGAGGGTGCCTGTTCACCCAGACATAACGTGCAGTCAGGTGCTCCCGTGACCTGTATGTTTGAAGACGTGCAGAGCGCTAAGCTGCCAGTTCAAAGTCTAAGTGGTTATTACAAAATCAGGAGAGGCTGGCATGTAAACCACATGAGACAAGATCAAGGATGGCAGTTTCTTCTTTTCTTAGTCATTACAGTTAACCACTTATTGTGACCTCGCTAGGCCAAACGACACATGGCTTCAATCTTTACAACAGTCCTGACAGATGAATTGCTTTAGAGATGAGGAAACTGACGTTAGGAAATGTTAAGTTGCTTAAATCACAAATTGCTGGTTACTGGCTAGTTCTGAGATGTTAGCTGGAGACCTGTGCTCTTTACCACTGATTTTACTGCATCTGGACACACAACCACTCCAGCTCTGGTGTCCAAATTACGCTTTAAGGTTAAGTGAATACAACAAAATCAAACTGCAAGACCTGGTTCCTGAAGTTAAAAAGGCTATATAAAGTCCATTAAATGAGAAAGTGTGTAACCATCATACCTTGAGAAAGTAGCTCCCACCATGAGAATGTCACCAAGGGTATTTTAATTTAAGCCTTGGCACACCATATCCACAATGTAACATTGAGTCCAAAGATCCTATATATCTGACATGATATAATTCTCCGTATGAATGAAGGCTTGGAGATTGAAATCCAGATTACCTCATCAGTTCACTTTGGCCAACACGGTAAGAGTTTACAGCTTTTCAAAAAATTTCCTGAGGTACCATTATGCAAGCAATGCTGCCCATGAGTATGTTAGCTTTCTGCCCCAAGGAAGAAAAGCCTAAGAAATCCCACATTTGTAAAACCACTCCCTGAAAAACTGATGTGCTGGTAGAAAGAAAGGCAGTAGAATTCAGGTTTTATAAACCAGAGAGTGTTCTGTTTTTTCTGTTAGGTAAAGGGATTTCTTCATATGTTATTTTAATAAAAGGGGATTTCATAGGTAAAAACCAATATTCAAAATTATAAAACAAATAGAACTCTCTGTGTATAACCACTGCATCAAAAATTTGCAAGAGACTCAACAGAAATTCTTTAGTTGATAAATGTGGTTTGAAAGGGTAATAAAATCTTTTTATGGCTAAAGCAAGAGTCTTGTTTCCTGTTGGCCCAAAAACAGATGTTTCATTTCCCAGATAAGTAGGTTCTCCACTGTAAAGAAATATCCTTGTATAGTTGGTTTCTATCTTCTTGAAGTCTGCTCCAAGTTCAGCCAATTTCTCATAGGTCCTTAACACAAATTTGGAACAATCGTAGGATTCAAACCATTTCTCCGCCCCCTTTTCTGGGCTGGCTTGGACAGTCCATGTCTCATAATAAATCCCTGTTTCATTGTCCTGTTTTACCCACTTTGCCATTTTGTTAAACATGTCTCCTAGTTAAAAACAAACAAAACAAAAATTATGTGAACATAATTAAAGCTAATCATGTTAGTTTTAAGTAAAATGTTCTAACGAGACTCAGGCCATAAGTACTTGAATAAACAACAGTTTCTGAATTTCCAAACCTGCATCTTATAACAGAAATCCATGCTCAGCCAATTTGTTTCATTTTTCAAAGCACAAGATACTTCTGAACTATAAACATTAGACATAACAGGTGTATAAAAAATACAAATTCTATAACCATTTAAGCTACAGTCAAAAGCTAAATTACATACATGCTGAAGCCCTCGTTTTCTGCTCGGCTCAACAAATCTTGGATTCACAGGCAAAAGAATAAAAAGAAGCAAGGGAAAAATTGGAGAAGGAATGAGTGAATGGGGCCAAGACAGTGTACGAAGAACTTAGGAGGGTGAAACATGAAGCTTTTTTATGTAAAAAAAAGTATGCATAGGATATGAATTTGCTGCCCAAGGAACTGCTCCTTGAGAAGGAAGCCCATACCCCATCCACCTTGAATATCTAGTATCTCCCCTTTCTGCCTGTACATGCGACTACTGGGAGTCTGCTTACAATCTTTCTACCCACCACACAGATCCTTCCAATGAATCAACTAAACCGGAAATAGTTTTGACCAAATTCATGGATTATATAGACTCCAGGATGGCTAACACTCTCTCCTACCACCTTGTACCAGACCAGAGGGATCTCTCCAAATGTTATCAAAATACTATACTCTGCATGGTTACAACCTCAACGGAGACTAAAACAGCATGACCCCAACATTTCACTTTGTCACTGTTTGTGACTCTTTCTTAGGTTACTCCAGCTTGAGTCCATAAAATCAATACTATTCAAGTCCTACAGGATAAACAGAGTGGCTGCTTTTATCAACTTTATGGAATTAAACTTGTAGAATAATATAAATCCTCTTTTCTTAGAACCGAGGATACCGTTCTTAATGTTCTCCAACTCTGAAAAGCCACTGCTTGTGATGAAGAGGTAAGAATGCTTCAAAACACTCTTTGGTAACATGAAAACAGGTCAACAAACAGGATTAATCACAAGGCAGATGGATAACAAAAGATTTAAGTGCTAGCATACTACAGACTCTTCTACAGAATAAACAATGATCACTTGTCCATATGGTCATACTGTGATGTCAGAAGGAAGATTTTGCAGATAATGAGGTAGATGGATACGGAAAAAGGAGAGATGTGAGCTGGCATGGAATGAAAGAAGGGGAGTCATTTATCATACCGAGCACTGTTAAAAGAGAGATGGAATTTTATATGATTGGGGTGGTTTGGGGCACATCAATTAGAAAATAGGAAAAAAAGAAAACCACACGATACATAATTAAAGAGTCCCAGATTACATTTAAAAGACACCAATTCTGCAAACCAGAACCACAATGAGATGTTACCTCTCACCTGTCAGAATCATTAAAACAGACATCAAGCAACAAGTATTGGTGAGGATGTGGAGAAAAGGAAAGCCTCATGCACTGTAGATGGGAATCTAAATTGGTACAGCCTCTGTGGAAAACAGTATAGAGGTTCCTCAAAAAATTAAAAACCACCACCATATGATCCAGCAATTCCACTCCTGGGTACTTACCTAAATGAAGAGAAAACACTAACTTGAAAAGATATAAGCACACCTAAATTTACTGCAACATTATTTACAATAGTCAACATAAGGAAATAACACAAGTTTCCATCAAGGGATGAATGATTAAGGAAAATGTGGCATACACATACAATGGAATATGATTCAGCCATAAAAAAAGAATGAAATCTTGCCATTTGTGACAACATGGATGGACCAAGAGGGTACTATGTTTATTGAGTATGTCAGACAGAGAAAGGCAAATTACCATATGACTTCATATGGTATGTAGAATCCAAACAATAAACAAAACAAAATAGAAACAGACCCATAGATTCAGAGAACAAACTAGTGGTCACCTCTGAAACAGAGATTTAAGTGTATCATTTTTTTTTAGAAAGTCCAATTTAACCATACAAAGTTTCTTATCATTTATTTTTATGATGAAAATAGAGAAGATAATCTATAGATATGATAAGGTGAAGATCTGCATGAATAATAGTTTGGGTCAAAGGTTAGTTCAGGAAGAGTATTCTATAAACTGACCTCCAAAGAGCAGAACATTACTGAGCTGCCTCAATGAAAGTCATTTCTGTCACTGGGACACTGATTCAATCATCTAATCCTGCCACATTTTGGAAACTTACCTGATATGGTTGCTACTAGAACTAACGTCCCGTTTTCCTTCCAGTGACTATCATCGATCCCTTCAAAAAAGCAGGCAGCTCCTTGATTACACCAGAAAGGGGCGTTCATTTCAGGTCGGAGATGGGGAAACGTGCAGTTTCCAAGCTGGAAGAGTTCATACCATTCCATTGTGTAGTTCTTCGCCGTTAAAGTACTCCTGAATCCAATGGCATCGTGCATAATTTTCTGTGTAAAGGTCATATATGTATAAAAGCATTTGGGAAGTAACCACTGGTTCAGGAGCCAGATAGGAGAAAATGCAATACCAGAAGTGCATACAGAGTAGAACAACTGCTTCCCTTCCCTATTGCTATTCTCACATCCACTTCATGGCTCCTAAACTCCCAGCCCTCACCCATCCACTGCGGCTCATCTCAGGAAGGCTGCATGCTATGTGGCCGTGTTCAGAATCTCCTTACAGCTTAGAATGAATAGGAGAAATCTCTGTGCCACAGACTCAGGAACTCTGTGTACCTCTCAGGTGATGAGAAGCTCAGATGGTGAGCTAACCCAGGAAAAGTGTGCACAACGGGGACTGAACAGGAAGTGGTTCCCACCTGCCCTATCCCCTGCTCTGGGCCTCCTCCTTTCCTTCTTTCTAGGATCCGGGTACAGGAACTGGGTTTGGGTTCAGAATACCAAAAGGGATTAAAGTAACTGCACTGATTACTGTCAGCATCATAAAACCTGGTGTTTTCTGGATTGTTCATTTTACATTTGCAAAGAGGAACTTAGGTCACAGATGCGAAGAACTGACTCATTGGAAAAGACCCTGATGCTGGGAAAGATTGAAGGCAGGAGGAGAAGGGGACAACAGAGGATGAGATGGTTGGATAGCATCATCACCAAATGGATGGACATGAATTTGAGCAAGCTCCTGGAGTTGGTGATGAACAGGGAAGCCTAGCGTGCTGCATCCCACAGGGTCAAAAAGTCGGACACGACTGAGTGACTGAACTGAACTGAAGAGGAACACCAAGGAACATAATCTAAAACCAGTCCTTTGAATAGTCATTATTCCCTCAAATCCACTTAGTCAAATCACTTAATTAGCTAGTTACAATATCAAGATGCAGCCTTACCAAGTGTCCCAGGAGGTCTCCGTACTTAAATTCCCACACTGGGGCTTGTAATCGAAAGACATCAATGACATCGTCATCCTTCATCACGGGGATGGGGGAACCCGTGGGACAGAAAGTATATTTAGCTTGACAATAAGGATCTGGTTCCGGACGAAAGGAGAAGCGTCTAATGAAGAAAAAAAAAAATCATCAACTTAAATTCCAAGAGGAATTTGGTTCTCACACATCTTAGAATCTAGATCTTAATTTCACTGTAACATTTTTAGAAAAAATACCCAAAATTCTGCCCATAGTGTATAAATATACATTTGTTATCCTATGAACAAACTCCAATGAGTCTTTAATAGCAAATGATACATTAAAAGCACTGATAATTGCCTGCTTCCCAGTTCCCTGCTTCCACTGTGAGAATTCTGAAGACAGGGACCATATCTGAAATGTTTATAGCTCTACATCTTATTTAGTAGACAGACATTTCTTGAATAAAAGAGTAGTTTTCAATGATATTTAACTTCCCAAACATTCCATATGTTAACATTATTCAAAGATTATCATTATTAAATAGAACATATTTTCTATTAAGAATCTGCCAACATTTCCTTCAATATTTATTGAGTATTATACTAGGAATATATTATGGTAGGAAGGAGGGAAACAAATGCAAGAAATGCAGGTTCGATCCTTGGGTCAGGAAGACCCCCTGGAGGAGGAAATGGCAACCTGCTCTGATATTCTTGCCTGGGAAATCTCATGTACAGAGAAGCCTGGCGGGCTACAGTCCATAGGGTTGCAAAGAGTTGGACACAACTGAACGCACACAGTCAGTGGGGGGGAATTCCTTCAATATTTATTGAGGATCTACTGTTACACTAGGAAGGAGGGAAACAAAACAGAAAATGCTATTCCTCTACTCAAGGAGAGGTGGCAGCTGGCAAGACATTAAACAAGTGATGAAAGGCAGCAGGGTATGTGCGACTGTGTGCTGATCAGCTGCATCCGACCCTGTGACCTCACGGACTGTAGCCGCCAGGCTCCTCTGTCCATGGGATTCTCCAGGCAAGAACCTGGAGTAGGTGGCCATGCCCTCCTCCAGGGGATCTTCCCAACCCAGGGATCAAACCCATCTCTCCTGTGGCTCCTGAGCGGCAGGCGGATTCTTTACCGCTGAGCCGCTGCGTAGTTATGACTGGAATTCAAGATTTGAGGCGGGAGGAGTGAGTGCATGAGGAGGCAGGGACTGTCCTTCTGAGCTAATGCAGGTGCACCTCGGAGATGCTGTGGGTTCGCTTCCAGACCACCACAGTACATTAAATAACGCTATGTCACTGGAATTTTTTAGTTTCCCAGTCCAGTGCATATAAAAGCCATGTTTACATTATACTGTGGTCTATTAAGCAGGTTAACAGTTTTATGTCTACAAAAAACAACGTACATACCTTAATTAAAAAATAATTATTGCTAAAAAAAAGAAATCACAAGGTTGTCACAAATCTTCAGTTTGTAGAAAACACAGTATCTGAGAAGTGTAATTCAACTAGGTATGCCTGGACACTGAAGACCCCCCCTGCAGAGTCACACAACTGGGGAGGGCTGAGCCCAGAAAGAGGCTTACAGGATCTGAAGTAGCAGGTGTGATAAAGCTGAATTTGCTCCAAAATAAACCTCATTTTGTTAGAAGAGGGAGGGGAGGGAAGACAAATTAAGGCTGAGGTCAGTGAGGAAGTCATGGCAGTAACGCATCAAGAAGGGGCCCGAGAAGGCCATGGCAGCAGCAGCGGGAGTGAGATCAGCGAATTGAGATCAGCAGGGGCTCACTACACACCTTTCGTATCTAGCCCCGGAGAGAGAGAGCAAAGGGAGAAACAAGCTGCTATCTGCCCTTCATGGGCTTCCCTGATAGCTCAGTTGGTAAAGAATCCGGCTGCAATGCAGGAGACCCTGGTTGGAGTCCTGGGTCAGGATGATCCACTGGAGAAGGGATAGGCTGCCCACTCCAGTATTCTTGGGCTTCCGTTGTGGCTCAGCTGGTAAAGAATCAACCTGCAATGCGGGAGACCTGGGTTCAATCCCTGGGTTGGGAAGATCCCCTGGAGAAGGGAACAGCTACCCCCTCCAGTATTCTTGCTTGAGAATTCCATGGACTGTATAGTCCATGGGGTCGCAAAGAGTCAGACATGACTGAGCAACTTTCACTGTATGCAACACACTGAGCTACTTTCACTTCACTTCTTCTGTCCTTCAAGAATCCTAGATCTCTGAGGCCCTAGCCAGACCTACTGTGTTTTGTTTTTTAAGATTTTTTTTTATGTGGATCATTTATTTATTTAAGTCTATTGAATTTGTTACAATATTGCTTCAGTTTTATGTTTTGTTTGCTGGCTGTGAGGCATGCGGCATCTTAGCTCCCTGACCAGGGATCAAACCCACAACCCTGCTTTGGAAGGTGAAGTCTTAGCCACTGGACTGCCAGGGAAGTCCCCAGATCTACTATTTCACAATCCTAACACATCAACAAAAATGTCTAATTTAAAAAGCTTAAATATTGATTTAGACAAAAATATTAACTCACCTAAAATTTTACCTGTTTTATAGGTGCTTACCTGATTTAAAAATGAATAGTTAACTATACATAGGTTTCAAAACCTGCCTACAGCAAAATCAAATTTAGGTCAATGGTAATTTCAAAAGTATAATTTAAGTGTGAACATAATAAAGTTAAATTTTTACTAACGGGGTTAGATGAAGGCATGTGCTTAACATTTCAAACTCTTAAAGAAATGTAAATCAAGTAGTTTTGGATTTCAATCTCTTCTTTGTTTTACTGAATATTAAATTTTTACTTTTTTGGGAACATTTTGCTGTTAATAATATTTTCAAGAAAACCAGCTTCAAACTTCTCTTTTCATGTATATCAAGCAAAACAAAAAGGCCCAGGAAGCCATTCAGTGAGCAGAATACACTAATATTGTATCCAATCTGAAATGCTGGCTGGCCTTTACTAGATTTAACCACCATAATAAAACTTTAAGTAACTACTATTCCTTCTTTCTGACTCAGGATATGCGGGCACAGAGATACTGAGCGACTTCCCCAAGATCACACAGCTAGTGATGATGGGGCCTGACTCGATCTGCTGCGGTCAGAGCCTAGAACTCGCTCGCGACCAGGAGGTTATCCTGCCTGCCAACTCGCTATTTTGTCATACGAAAGAGGTGTGCATTTTCGAAAGCTGCTGGTTTTTTCCCCTGCCTGATGTTGACACTGTATCTTCCTTTTCTCTGCTTAGCCACCTCTGATAATTAGGCTACGTAAATATTGTTCTAGTTCAAAGGCTCAAACACACTTCCTTCATCTCCGCATCCACACAGCGTAAGACCAGCGTTCTACCTTTCCGCTGAAGACTGTGGACAGATGAGGCCACTCACCCAGGAGGCGGGGGGACGGGACGTGGCGAGGGGATTCCCTAGACATCCAACTTTGAGTGCTTAAAAACGGGAAGTCCCAAGAGGGCTAGGTTAACTGGTAACTGGGCGTGCAAATGTTACGCACTCAAGATAACTAATGACTGGACCTGACACGGTAGAAAATACATTATTAAGTCTCAAACTATTCAAATTGTCAGCGATTTGTATCCGAAAATGACGCGACGAAATAACATTAGTCCCTTTCCACCACCCCCCCACCCCCCCACCCCCCCGATTCGGGACAGTCACCTTGGAACTGGCTCAAGGGTCCCGGGAGGAAGAAAGACCCCAGGGCATCGTGCAACAAACACCGCCCCCGGAGCTCTCCACTTCGCCCCTCGCCGCGCCTTCAGGGTCTCCGGGAGCCTACCCCGCACGATCACGCGACCACGGCACAACTTCCCAGCCCAGCCGCACACGCACTTTGGACGGAGAATCTCGGCCGCGCGCGCGCCCGCCTAGCCCCGCCGCGCCCGCGCACTCACTTGTAAGGCACCGGCCACTGGCGCCGGGAGAGGTCGCCCGCCACCGCCGCCGCCGACGCTGCCAGCCAGAGCAGCGCGGGGGCCCAGCGCCAAGGCGCGCGCCCCGGGCCCGCACCTGCGCCCGCGCCCCGCCGTCCCCAGGCCCCCGGACCGGCGCTCCCCGCCTGCGCCATGTGACGGCTGCCGCTGCGGGCGGCGCCTCCCGAGCCCCGAAACCTAGGAGAGCCGGCGAGCGGAGCATGCGCAGAACCCGAGACCCGGGCGGCGGTCCACCCGCGGCCCCGCCCCCTGCCCGGCGCGCCGGGGCTGAGGGCTCGGTCCACTGGGCTCCCGCCGCCTCCTCGAGCGCCGGGGAACCAAGCGCAGGGTGTCGGAGCCGCCGAGGCTCTGCTCCTGCCTGGCGCCCTGCGCGGGGGCCGCTTCCGGACTTGAGCGACCCGGAAGGCACTCCGGTCCAGCTCCCCCAGCAGCCCAAACAGGAACCCTTTTTCTCTGACTGACTCGTAATGCCGAGTTCTGCTGGCCTCACGGCTCCGCTCCTTTGGAGCTTCTGCTCCCAGCAACTACTACGAAAAGCAAAAGCACAAAAAAGCCAGCTTTGGGCTCCTTTGGGCTTTGTGTGTGTGTGATGACTCTTTTTGACCCCATGGACCGTAGTCCGCCTGGCTCCTCTGTCCATGGAATTCTCCAGGCAAGAATACTGGAGTGGGTTGCCATTCCGTTCACCAGGGGATCTTCCCAACCCAGGCATCGAACTCTTGTGTGTCCTGCATTGGCCGGTGGGTTCTTTACCACTGCCACCGGGAGCGCCGCACTTTGCCTCATCTCTCAGGGCCCAGACTCGGTGACAACAGACATCTGAGTGAAGGAGAGTATGTGGGGGAGGTGAGTGCAGTGAGGAAGCCGGTGATGGCGCGGTGACTGGTCCTCACCCGGCCGAACCGGCGATGCCAGTGGCCACCCTGACAACACACAACCGGGGCTATCGCCGCCGCTAAGCGCTGTGACACAGTCCAGCCCCACCCAGCTCCCAGGCGGGTTCCTCCTGGGTAGCTCTACCACTTCGGTTGGAGAGAAGAGTCCACATTACTGTGTCTTCCTTGACCCTTCAGCCACCTCAGGAAAGCAATGGGATCAACTCCCCTTCTTCTGGCGATCAACTGCCCTTCCACTGCCCTCATACATGGCCGGCCCTGTTGTCATACACAGAGGTTGGCTTATGTCTATTAATAGGACATTAAAGACATGGCACTTAGAGTCACATTTTACAAGAGGGTGGCCTGCAGAACTGAGACCGGGCTTTCCAGCCCCTTCCCTTCCCCTACAACAGGAGTGATCCATCATAGTGTTTGTAAGTTATGTGCGAACTGTAATGGTCTGAGTGACCACCGTGACTCATGGGGTGGGGATGGGGTCACTGGTTTCCCCACGCCTCCGAGGACTCGTGGGGGTTGATGAGAACTGTTGACCCCCTCTTTCTCTCTCTCTCTCTCTCTCTCTCTCTCACACACACACACACACACACACACACGCACGCGCCTTTGCCCACTTGCTGTAGCAGGCTGGGGGCTCTGGGGAGGTTCAGGCAGGGCTTCGTTTTAACACTCAACTAAGCTCCCCCCGTGGCTCAGACAGTAAAGAATCTGCCTGCAAGGCGGGAGTCCCTGGTTGGATCCCTGGGTCAGGAGGATCCCCTGGAGAAGGGAATGGCTTCCCATTCCTGTATTCTTGCCTGGGGAATTCCGGGGACAAAGAATCCTGGCTGGCTAACAGTCTATGGGGTTCCAAAGAATGGAACACAACTGAGTGGCTAACACTTTCATAAGCATTTAGGTAGCCAAAGCTAACCTTCCTCCAATTACCACCGCCCAGTTCAAAATCATCAAGGCTAAACTGGGTACTCCGAAGTCCTGGCCAACATGAGAGGGAATTCATCCAAGCCCTGCAAGCGGATGTGTACTGTTGGATTTGAAGGGCACTTGTAGCATTCTGCATGGGCCTTCACTTGAACTTAAAGCTAAAAGAAGCAGTTCTCGGAAGTAACATTATAGTGTTAAAGACCAGACACCAGAGGAACTTGCCATCCTGCTCAGGATTTCCCAGGGCTGCAATGAACAAGCTTCAGGTTGACCTTGGTAGGTGGTGGGGAATCTCCCTTCTTGGAGGTGCGGTCTCTTCATTCCAAGGTCAGGGAGCTCTGGTGATGAGAAAGCATTTCCTCCTATCAACCTTAACTCAGCCTCTTCGTAGCTCCCAGCTGCTCTGCTTTGGTTCTGCCTTCTGTTCTTTTTAGCTATGACTCCAATACCCTGGGATGCTTCCAGGATACTGCCAGATTGTTGTAGCCTCATCCTGCATCATATTGGTTACTTCTCTCTAGTTTGAGGTTTTTAAACTTTGGGAACCCAAAAGATAGACTGAATTTTAATTCAACTGGTTTTCCTTGGGATTTCCCGTTAGCATAAGACCAAAATAGTGGAACAGTACTGTAGTCTATTAAATCAGATTTATTAATGATTGCATTGTGGGAGATTGTACATAGAGGAACTTCATGGCATCTCCCCAAATAAAGGAAATACAGAGTTATAGGATTCTGGGGGTAGTGTGGCCTTTAGGTGAATTCTAAGTGAGCAGTATTTTGGTAGGCTCAAAGCAAGGCTGTGTGTCAACAGAGAGTCAATGTGCAGTCTAGACAACTAAGTGGACCCAAGGTCCTATTTCCTTGGAAAATGTGAAGGTAAAATAGGGATGGAATTTTTGTGTCTAGAAGCCCCTGATTGGGAGCTCTACACCTGGGTTATAAAGGTTGTAAATAGAAGCTGCTTCTCTGTGTCAAGGGACTGAGAAACTTCAGACAAAGGTGGGATGTTTCATTCTTACTGATATAATTTCAACAGCCAAAACTCTCTTAAGTCTTTAATTTTAGAGAACAAATTTTCTCAGTGAGTCAGAAAGCAGGAGGTGGTGACTACACTTTACAGCTCTACTGTGTCTGGGGAGAAATATTGTATTATGTTCTGGGCTTCCCAAGTGGCTCAGTGGTAAAGAATCCACTTGCCAATGTAAGATACACAAGAGTTTGATCCCTGGGTGGGGAAGATCCTCTGAAGGAGGAAATGGCAACCCACTCCAGTAGTCTTGCCTGGGAAATTGCATGGACAGAGGAGCCTGGCGGGCTACAGTCTATGGAGTCACAAAGAGTTGGATACCGCTGAGTATGCACACACATTGTTTTGTGTTAATTTTGCAACTGGTTTTACCAGCCTTTTGTTCCAGGCTACTGAATGGCAGAGCAGATTTTTACAGTCTGAGGTAATTTTCCTTTCTCACTTATGATGAAATAAAAATCCATAGTTTAAGGCAAGACAAGAATAACTTGAACATAAATTTTTTCTCTGCCCATTTAGACCTCCTCCCTTCCCGACCAGTGTGTACTGTACAACCGCATTATGTGTTAATGAGACCTCCCCAGTGGCAGAAATCCCAGCTTAACCACAAAGATCAATTTTTCTTCTGGCATCAGGCATGTTGTAACTCCTTAGAAAGTGTTATTCCTTTCTCAGTCCTGTAAGGGGGTCACAAGACCCACCACTGGCCTCGTCCATGCAGGTATCTTTAGTGAATTTCATGTACAAGACCACTGTTTGTCTTAAAGATAGGTATTAATGCAGAACAGACAGCTCAGAGGACAGGGGGAGATTTTAAGTCACACCTACTGAAAGTTCTTAGCTTAAATACTTATGTAAGACTTCATGATGTTACTAGTTATGTTACTCTTCTACCGCTTTTACAAGATTATTGTTTCTGGCATTACCAGAAGTGTGACTGAAGCTCAGATGAAATGAATGCATATGTGACTTGAAATGATTGACCAAATATACAGTTCTGTAAGATGAATGATGGTAATAGTGTAACTCAAGATATGGGAAGAAGCAGCCAAGAGGACACCATGTCCCCGACCAGGACATTCTGATAAAACAGTCAGTTCAGAAGCTTTTGGCTAAGGTTGCACTGTGCTGTGTTTAGTTGCTTAGTCGTGTCTGACTCTTTGCAACCCCATGGACTGTAGCCTGCCAGGCTCCTCTGTACAAGGGGATTCTCCAGGCAAGAATACTGGAGTGGGTTGCCATGCCCTTCTCCAGGGGATCTTCCTGACCCAGGAATCGAATGGGGGACACCTGCATTGCAGGCGAATTCTCTACCAGCTGAGCCACATGGGAAACCCCAAGGGCCTTGTTCAGTAATAGCACACTGAGTGGGCTATTAAAGAAATCCTCTCCTGACCTGGGGATGAGCATTCCTAGCACCTGGGGACAAACTGGTCCTGAAATGCCTCTCAACCTTGGTTGAAATGAAGACTGAAAGGGAAGGGACTGGAAAATAATGTTGCCTACCATCCAGTTCTACAAGAATCATTTTATTAGCCACTGCAGTTGCTGATCTATGATACACCCTAAAAGGAATTCAGGGTGAAGATCAGGGCAAGGCACTTTGTGCTCTGGGAAAACTGATAGAACTGGCCCTCAGAGAGTTAGATAGTTTCATGAGAAAGATTTTTTTGAACCTGATTCTTACATCTTCCCATATTTAGAAAAGCATAAAACCATTAACTAAGGTATCTGTTCCTCGTGACTAGCAGTAACCTCCTGCCAAGCTGTGTGGTTGACTGCACGTACCTACTTTGTCAGAACCACATAGATATTGACCTCCCTCCTTCTTAATTCTTTGGAACAGTTCTTAGAGCTCTCTGAGGATTATCCTGGGTGATAATCCTCAGTTTGGCTTGAATAGGATTCTCCATTGCTTCCTTAGATAGACTGTTGATTAGTTTTCTCATTGGCATTTATAATCCAGTGTGAATATTGTAAATCCAGTGTTACTGTTATTTTAGATACTAAAACACGTTCATCTGAGAAGGGGTTTAACCAGGCTGCTAAAGAGGTCCATGGAACATAAAGGATAAGATCCTTTGCCCTGGACACGCTCATTTTCTGCACCAATTTTATTGCAAGGGGTTCATAATATCTTGATGCTAATCAAATCATTTACAGCCCCTCCTCAAAGCTTATGAAACGGGTATATGGTACATGTCTTCAGTTCAGACACTCAGTCATGTCCGATTCTTTGCGACCCCATGGACTGCAGCACACCAGGCTTCCTGTCCATCACCAAC